TGTGTTGATTTGACAGGATAGCAATATAGTTCTGTTGTCTATGCTTACAGCCTAGTTATAAGATTAAAAACCACTATTCCAGTGTTCATTCTGGGCTGCACAAGTGCATCATGAGCATTCACTGTGGTATTGAAGTACAGACAAAGCTCCATGTCAGCACAAAAGCACTTTTTTTCTTTAAGACACTTGAGCATAATAAAGATGTAATAGTTCCGATCAGGTCTCTTTCAACCTGCTCCTTTGAAGTAGGAAGAGTTAACCCAAAAATTTCTTTAAATGGCTCTTTTTTGCCACCATATAGGCCAAGAGATCTATTGAATTTAGTTTTGAAAACGTATGCCTATATTTTTGAGGATGACTAATGATTTTGAATGCCCAACGTAAGACACCTTAAAGGGGCCAGATTGTCAAAAGATGGGTGTCCAGCACTTTCTAAGAAGGCAGGGCCTTCTTTAAGTTTCTCAAATTGGGTGCCAAAACAAAAAACGCACTCATTACTTTTGCAAATTTAGACCATATTAGACTTTTCTGATAAGAATCACCCTGTTGGCTTAAGGTGACCACTGACAGTTAGCAATGAGTTTCTTCTCCCACACTATACCCTTCCATTTTTGTCTCCTTTCCACCATACTCTTAGTGTGAGCCCCACATGACAAAAATTTGTTCCTAGCCTTTAATCTGGGATGAGATAGCCTAGGAAAAGCAACTGAAGCTTTTTGTATAGTCAGAGCTGCCGCTTTATTTTCTTTAAGTTGTGCTGGTGGATAAGATGGTAAAGAGATGGCTGTGAGCCAACACTGCAGCAGAACCAGTTACCCAAGGTACAGTTACAATGCTGAATCAACCAAATTACTGCAGCTGACAGGTATGTGGTTGATATCTGTGATGTAAATACTGAGACTAAAGTAACTTCTGTAGCCTAACGGAATTTTAGACACTATTTGAAGGATGGGGTGAAGAAAATTCAGATTAGACTAGTGTCATGGTATAGTTTCAACCAATAATGCTAACAGTTATTTTAAAAGAAAAAAACAAACTAGATCTCAAACATTTCCATCTGTAACAAAATGAAGCTACACAGTGACTCAAACTGTGGTGGTAAAAATCTGAAGTTTTTCTGTTAAATACACAAAAACAAATTACTTCTCCTAGCTCTTCCCCAACCTCCAGCCTCCTCCCTTTTGCAAAAACAAAAATAAATCCCAGACCTACTATAGCTTGACACTGATCCCATACAGAAAGCAATTGGAGAGCAGGGTGTTTATTCTTTTCTTTATTTTTCGAGCAGCTATGTAATCCGTGATCTATCCTGAAGTTTCACAAGTCAACCCAAAACTATGTGTGAAACAAACCAAGGAATCCACTTTGATGAAACAGCAGGTGTGTGTGTGTGTGTGTGTGTTTATTATTAGGCACACACTCACATCAGCTTTGTCACTTTTTTTACTGTAAGAAGGAACTGGTTGTCCCTGCCTCCCAAAAAAGTAACAGTATGAAAGATAAGAAAACCTACTTCCGTGGTCTTATTTCCATTCCCTGCTAGAGGGACACTGATCTTGAATTAAAATATTTTTTTGATTACGGTAGTTAATGTCCGTTTTCTGAGAGAGAAGTCACCATTTAAATAGCATGTCCTGAGCTTTCTAGTAAACAACTATTTTATTAATAATTAAAAGTTTCTCTGTTCTCTTACTATGTTTAGAAGGATCTTTTGGGCAGATCCAAGCAAACTAAACATATTTTGGCCCACCTCTTTCTTCCTCTCCTTCCCTTCTATGTATATATTTATGTGCTGGCTATTGTGTTTCAGCTCCGCTGCAGCTAATACTAGTAAACACTCTCTTGAAAAGACTGAGTAAGAGCATTCAGTACAAGAATTATGGTATCATTCTATTGCAAAAGACAGGATCTGGAACTGACCAACAAGTGAAACTAACAATAAAGAGAGTCCAGTCAAATGTCCAAAGTGAACAAGCCGGGGGAGTGGGGGGGGGGGGTAAAGCAGGGGAAGAGGGTAGGGAGAAGGAAGAACCAACTATTCCTGAGAGAGAAATGTTATCTTATGTATTAATTGTAACACTAGTAGGTACAACATTTTCAGATACAAGTGTGATGTTTTTGAGTGAGTGTCCATTTTACTTACAGACCATCCCTTCTGAGAAACCAGATTCTGCAAAGCAACATACCGTCCCAGTCATGAGACAAAATGCAGTTACAAGAAAGGTTGGTATTCTAAACAGCATTTCATTTCCCCCACCCTTCAGATTAAATAATTAGTTTCAAATAATGTGAATTAATTTCCTTTAAATTAAAATGCCAGTGACATTCTCTCTCATTTGTGTAGGCTTTCCAGAGAATCACAAGCAAGATCCATTCTGGAATAAGACTATTTTGAGGCCTTGTTTTTGATGGTTACTTCCTATTAAACATTCGGTTCCAAAGGAACTGCTGCATAATTTGATACACCAGACAGTTACTGACTGTTGGTGGACATACTGTTGGGGAAGCTAGCCATATGTGAAACACAGAGCTAGATTAATCTATAATAGCAGCTAGAAAACAAGTTTCTAATTAAACACGTTATTTTATATATCAGAGAGAGAGGAGGCTTGAAATGTGACAAGACAGAACCCCAAATATGATTAAACTGCATCCACAGCATGAAATCTAATCACACTCTTGAAGGTCTTTTGTTTCTGAACCACCTTACCACCCAACACATCTCATCTACCAAATAACCAGAACTAATTTTCTCTCCTCCCTTCCCTAACATTAGCACTGCAAACATAGCAACAAGAGCAAGTTTGAGGTAAAAAAATATATATATATATATTATATATATGCACTGTGAACATTTCCATCTGCATCCCACTGTCTTTGGGCTTCTCTACGTATTGACTTCACATATGAAGACATATTGTGACAATGAAATAAGTTTTGCTCTAGTGCATGGGCTGTTCATTTTATCAAAATGGTCTCCACTGAAATACACTGCACATCCTGCCACCTATTTTATTTATATAGCATTCTTAATGCCCATGTTTTGATCACTATCCTTCCAAAGATTCGATGGATTCCCTACAAAGATGGCAAATGCATCTGAATGGGGCCAGGGTTTGCTATTAAGCGTACTGTCCACCAACGGAGGAACATGCTTCCTCTGACATATTCCAAAACCAATATACAACAAATTAAAACAAAGCAAAACACTCAAACTTATATACCATCTCAAAAGAAGAGCCACATACATCACTTCAGTTTGATGGAGGAAAATAAAATTTCAAGAAATACCACAATGGTACACAATTTTGAGAATGGTGAGAATGATTGGCAGTGAATTCATATTTTATAATCTGACATGTGCACTGGAAAACAAATTATTCTATCACAGTAATCTATACTATCTTGTGTAAATGAGAGTTTTTGTTTAGACCAGACATCCACCTCAGCATGTTATGAAACACTACGTAGACATTAAAAAATTGTAAAAGGAATTTATTTACATTTCCCCAAAATTGAATGTTTGTAGCAGATCAGTAAGATAAATTTAGGACAGACTCTGCATGTCATGGTTTAACTCTCCAACTTGAAGATAAGAGGAAGTCAATCGAGTACATGAAAGGTGCAGATGTGGTCAGAAATTACCGGTGTTAAATTGGGGAAGGATAGTACAAATTAGAGACTGAATTCCTTACATCAAACATTCATGTTAAATAAGTCATACTGAAGCTGCAGATTTTATTGTTCTGGTGAGGATTCACCAAGACAAAAAAAAGCCTGAGTCTATTTGACTGGCCTACCTTTGCTTTAAAAGTTATAGAGCAAGAGGCTCTTAGACAAGCAGTCAAATCAGTAGGACTCAGGAAAAACCTTTAAAAAAGTCATAAAGGAATTTAAAATGAGGTTTGTGGCTAGTTACATTCAACAGCAATATCAGTTACAGAAAGGAATAGCTATCAAAAAGAACATCTGATTAGCATGCTGGTTTATGAATTTTTTTTTTTTTACTATAATGACTCAGCCTATTATTTTCAAAATTTTTAAAGATATTTTACTACAAGTATTGCAAATAAAAAGCCTATGAAGTTTTAGCTACTTTAAAATATTAAACATGAAAATTAGATTTCTATGGCCATTCTATGAAAGGGCAATCATGTCTAAAAACTACTACCTTAAGTTTTCAACTCACTCCCCTTCAAAAAGGCACAAGCTTATAGATCTGTTCAAAATTATGGAGGAGAATACACTCCTTTACAAAACAGTGTAGTGCCTGCAAGATATGTATAAATAAGTCAGAAGCTCATCTCCTACCCGAGTTAACTATTTGTCAGTCATCTAATTAGGAGCTAAATGGGAAGCAACATCAAAGAAAAGCTGGCAGAGATAAGGCTGTTCTGCGAACACTGACTTTTTCTAATACACGCCCACATCTGGTACAATATTCCCAATTTTATCATCTTTCAACTGTCATTTAGATCTAGAGGTCAAGGTCTACAGTACATGTTATCAACAGGAGACACAAAAGTTCTTTAAAAGCAAAAAAACAACCCCCGGGTGTCAAGGTTTTCCTCCGCCCCCCGAACTGGGCTCAACGATAACTGGAAAAACAGATCAAGGATCCCACCGCAGGAGAGGGTGACGAAGAGCGGCATTTGCCCGCCTGAGTGGTCATCTGCTGGGAAGCGCCCCGCGTGTGAACGGAACACACGGGACGGGTCCGTACGCAGCGATCGCCCCGCAGGGGCTGGGCCGAGTCTGGGGGCAGGGTCGGCTGTAGCCCCGCGACCCGCCTCGCCCCTTTCCAAGGGCGCAGGCAGCAGGGTGCGGGGCAGCCCCCAGCGGGCGGGCGGGCGCGTGTCTGGGCCCCCCCCGGGATGCTGCTGTCCCCGTCCGGCTCCCCCCAGGAGCGAGCCCCGGAGCCTGTAGCGGGCAGCAGTGCCCGGAGCGAGGGGAGCGTCTGTCCGTCAGTCGCTGCTCCGCGGCAGCCGCCTCCGACTTACCTTCATCGTCGAGCTCTAGTTTCTCCAGCATCCCTTCGGAGGCGGCCGGGGGCTGAGGAGAAGCCGGAGCCGCCGCAGCTGCTGCTGCCGCCGCCGCCTGCGGAAGGGGGAAAGCGGAGAAGGGGATCAGCATCCAGGCGCGGACCTACCGGACCCGCGGCGGCATCGGACGCAGCCCGGCGTGGCAGAGGCTGAGCCGGTCTGAGGGAGGGGAGTGGCCGCCGGGCGGACGCAGGGGGTGGCTGCTGGCCCGAGTCCGTGTGCGGATGATGGAGGGGGCGGCCCCTCAGCCTGACGGGGCTCGATTTGTGCTGTCTCCTACACACCCTGGGGGAGGGGAGGAGGCGGGACCGCCTCCTCCCCCCGGCGGCTGCACCCAGCCCATTAACCCTTTACACCCAGGCCGGGTAGGGCTCTGCCCTTTAGCGAGGCCGCAGGCCTGTGACGTGGGAGGTCTCGCGTCTCCTCAGCATCCTTCAAGTCAGCGAGCCGCCGTTTACGTCCGTTAGCTTCCACAGGCCGCCAAAAGAACCTTTCGGCGAGGAAGTGCCAGCCCTTCCCCCTCACGGCCCCCCTTTCTGGGGCCGGACTGGAATTTGGAACATTCCGTTTTGCTGCAATCGAGCCGGCTGCTCTGCCCAGGAGGGAAGGTAACTACCATTCACACGGGGGGTGGGGGAGCGGTGCCTGTGCTATTGCTACCTGCACCCCGGGTCAAGCCATCCACCTTTCCCTGTCCATCCTGCGAGGCGAGGGCGGGCTGTTAACGCTGCCTGCCAGTCTTCCCAGGGTCGGGGTACGGTAACCTGAGAGGAGGAAACCTTTCCCCCGTCAGCCGGTGTTGGTAGTGCCCGATGTATTCACCTGCTAAGGCGGCCGCGAGCGGCCAGTCCCACTGCTGTCTAGCAGGGGAGGCTGGATCCCACCTCCCCACTGCCACGGGTGGGCCACCTTCACGAGGCGTGTATTTCTCAGGCTGACGTGCAGACCAGTCCCTGCTGCAGCCCCCACCCTCCCAGGCTTGTCATAGGTCCTGCTGTGCCTGGAGACCCCCATCCTCCACCCCCCACGTGCCTCCCACACCTACTGTAGCCCCAGCCTCCCAGGACACTGAGGGTCCCAGCCTGGCTGTGGCACTGTGAGACACACAAGAGTCAGACCCAGCATGACAAGGGGCCCATAACATTCAGCAAGTCCCAGCATGCAGTGGTCCAGCTTGATGTGAGGGGCCGGGTTGCACTGCATGTCAGACAGTTATCTGTGCAGGCCCCATTTCTCTGAAGTAAAGATAAAGGTTAGTGTCATCTGTCCTATTCTGTACTCATTAGACAGAGATGCTGTGGTAAATGAAGCTGTAAGGAGTGTGGGGACTGGATTTTGGAGAGATGGAACAAGTGGAGTAGTCTTCATGCTCCTAGCAAGTTACTGTACTGTTGGGCAAAGTTTGGACACCCTGCTCTAAAGTAAGCATTCCATTTTCTTGATTGGTTTCTGCTATAGCTTGTTTAAATACAGCAGATCTTTTCCATGTTAATGACCAGGAGTAAAATATTTTAAGGTTCTTATTTGACCTCCACTTTTCTAAGTCTGTCCATATAAAGTACACGTTTTTTAAAGTAAGGGTAGTTACCCACTGGAAAAGTTTACCAAGGGATGAGATAGATTCTTCATCCTTTGAAGTCTTTAAATCCAGATTGGATATTTTTCTACATGAAATGCTCTGGTACCCAATCAAACGTTATGGTCCTGATGCAAGAATTAATGGGTGAAAGTATATGGCTTTTATTATGCAGGAGGATAGACTAGATGACCATAATGAGCCTTTCTGGCCTTATAGTCTATAACTTAAAAAATGAATAGGCTGAAGTTGCTAGTCACTGAAGTGTGGATGCTTTAGAAATGTTCAGCATAAATCACATTGGCTGAGCCAGAGTAATGTAAAGTTTACATTATCAACCTTCTGAACTAGCATATACTTTTTGTGGCCCAAAATCTGATTGCTAGCAATTGGCAGAGACAGGTCCAGGGGGATTGAGTTCTTGTTACCTAATCCCTTCTGCCTCTTCCTGGGGAGTTTTCAGTTTAGTTCTTAATGGTTGTCACTGTTTCATCTCTACCCTCTTATTTAATTGCCTTTTCCTTGGACAGCTACTGACTTATTTGTCTGCAGGGCTTCAAAGGAAGCATTCCTTCTCCTTAGAAGTAGGTTTTCTGTCCTTTGCTGAGCTGTGGCAGCAGATGCTAGTGGACGTTAGAAATGCCCCAGGATGCAGAGCGTGGTGCTTCAAAGGAGTCATAGCAACCATGTAGAGAATACCAAGTAAGGTTTGTTTGGCGCACTGGCTACTGAAGGTGAGGAAGTCTTCCAAGGAGAAGGTAGACAGAGGACTAAGGCATTCAATATTTCTTGCTTTCCAGCAGAATAATATGCACAAAAAAATAGAGAACACCACAAAATGTGTGTTAGTGAGAATTAAGGGTTGAGAAGGGAGTACAGAACCTTAACAATTCTAGCACAATTCTGCATGGCAGCTCCAAACAAGGAAAATAAGATCCTCGCGGGGCTGGGTGACTGCTTTCTACCCCTAAACAAATCCCTTCCAGTGGATATTAATATGAACCCTCACTTGCTCAGGAAGTAGAAGTGTCCAATTCTTGGTCATAAGAAAGACCACCATGAGGACACTGTGTCAAGTTTAACTCCAAACAACTTGTGTGTTGTTTTTTGTAATGGCAAAATATTATTAATGTATACCTCAATGAATATTGTAGCTGATCAGCCATATAAACCACCAATACTGAATGCACTAAGTAGCAATACTTCAGAACATCCACAGCATTTTAATTATATCTTTTATTTGAGCTGTGCTTAACCCCCCTATACAATTTTCCTTTATATCACTTGTCTTGATATCAATCAGGGTAAGATGTGCTTCTTACCAAATTCTTTTGTTTGTTAGTTTAAAAAAGAACCCCAAAACCATCAAGGTGTCACCCTAACTCAAACAAATATAACCCAGTGCCTATGGTGGCCCCTGCAGTTCTGCGGGAAGCTATCACAACTCCAGCTGGTGAGGAGCTGTGAAAATTCTGGGGGGAGGCGCAAGGTCAAGGAAGGCACCTACCCCACTGTCACATAGCAAATGACACCTCTGTTTGGAAGAACAAAAAGTAAACTTATCAGAATGAGGAACACCTCTGACGTGTATCTTAACAAAAATATTTATCTTGGAGAAAAGACTGTGAAATAAGGTTGCCATCTCTGAGTTACAAAAATACAAGACAGCTGGGATGATCCTGAGCCAATAAAACTGGGCAGCTGACGTTGAACACTGAGCACCCTTGCAGACTTCCTAGACTACCTCAAAAAAAAAAAAAAAAAAATATCCTGGGAAAACCTGGACAGGTGGTGGCCCTACTATGAAAGTAAAACTTCCAATAAAGAATATATACCTTTCAGGAGAAAAATTAATACTGGTGTGACTAAAATAGTAATAAAGCATGTGTTTGCAGGATCAGAGAATTAATTACAGAAATCTGGTTTATTTTTTAATTAAAAAGGATGAAAATTATATATAACTGGAAGTCCAAAAGGGTATTAATTGTCATAGCAATATCATAGGGTATGTTTCTAGCGAGGTCCTATGGGGATTGGTTCTTGGCCCTAAGCTATAACAACATTTTTATTAATGACCTGGAAGAAAACATAAAATCATCACTGATAAAGTCTGTAGATGACACAAAAATTAGGGAAACAATAGATAATGAGGACAGGTCACTGATAAAGAGTGAACTGGATCGTTTGATAAGCTGGGTGCAAGCACACAATATGCATTTTAATAGGGCTAAATATAAATGTATACATCTAGGAATAAAGAAATGTAGGCCATACTTATATGATGGGGGACACTATCTTGGGAAGCAGTGATTGAAAATGATTTGGGGGTTGTGGTGGATAATCAGCTGAACATGAGCTCCCAGTGTGGCCACAGAGCTAGTGCCATTCATGGATGCATTAATAGGAGAATTTCAAGTAGGAGTTGAGAGGTTATTTTATTTGTGTGCTTAGAACTGGTGTAACCACTCCTGGAATATTGTGTCCAGTTCTGGTGTCCAATTCAAGAAGGATATAGATAAATTGGGGAGGATTCAGAGAAGAGCCATAGGAATGATTAAAGGATTAGAAAACATGCCTTATCGCGATAGACTGAAAGAAGCTCAATCTATTTAGCTTAACAAAAAGAAGGTTCAGGGGTGACTTGATTAGAGTCTGTTAGTATCTACACAGAAAACAAATATTTAATAGTGGGCTCTTCAATCTAGTCGAGAAAGGTGTAAAATGATCCAATGGCCAGAAGCTGAAGCTAGACAAATTCAGACTGAAAATAAGGCTTACATTTTTAACAGTGAGAGTAATTAACCATCAGAACAACTTAGCAAGGATCATGGTGGATTCTCCATCACTGATAATTTTAAATCAAGATTGATGTTTTTCCAAAAATATATGCTCTAGAAATTATTTTTTGGGAAGTTCTATGGCAGGAGTAGGCAACCTATGGCACACGTGAGCTGATTTTCAGCAGCACTCAGACTGCCCGGGTCCTGGCCACTGGTCTGGGGGGCTCTGCATTTTAATTTAATTTTAAATGAAGCTTCTTAAACATTTTAAAAACCTTATTTACTTTACATACAACAATAGTTTAGTTATATAATATAGACTTATAGAAAGAGACCTTCTAAAAATGTTAAAATCTATTACTGGCACACAAAACCTTTAAATTAGAGTGAAAAAATGAAGACTCGGCACACCACTTCTGAAAGGTTGCCGACCCCTTTTCTATGGCCTCTGTTATACAGGAGGGCAGACTAAATGATCACAGTACTCCTTTCTGGCTTTGGAATCTATGGATCTATTAAACTATGAATAGATGTTTGATTGGAAAAAAAATTATGCCAGATTTTAAAATTGTGTTTCTTTTTTAACACCACACAATAAGCTACTAAATACCCAACATTTAAAGAAAATGCATATGTTGTTTGTAGCTTAAATTTAACACACACACCCTGAAAGTACACAATGTATTTTACCTGCTAAAGTACATAATAAGCCATAAAAAGACATTTAGACCCAAATCATGCCACAAGCTCTATGCCAGCAAACCTCACAAGCCTCACTGCAGGATCAGTGTTAATTTTTTTGTGGGGAAAACTGTATCCAAGCTGAGAATATTAAGACAAATTCAGTGTAATTTAAAGATAATTATTAACCTCTAGTAATATTTGCTAGTGTATACGTAACGCTACATTGCAGATGGCTGCTTTACCAAAACATCACTGTGCTATAATTGCTTCTG